CAGACTGTGCTCAGCAGCCCACAGAACCTCTGAATCATTCCCACAAATACTGGCTTGCTACATGAGGTATAAACATCTTTTTTAGGCCTATGGGTTACAAAAAATGGCTTTTTCTCAGATAATGCTAACTGTCCTTCTCTAAGCAGACATGAAGACTTGGATTCTTCAATTTTTATCTTTCCTTAACTAAATAACCAATCCTACCAATGCTTCATTAGAGTCTCCAAAGCAACTTACTCTTGCTGCTCTCTTTTGGCTCTCTCCAACTTGTTTAGAATTTCTCCAAGGCTGGCACCACAACTGGCCACTCCAGCTTAAGTCTTCCTGCTCACAACAGTGAGATCACAACAGCATTTGCCTTTGCCCTGTGATGGAAGAGCATAATGCCCAGATGCACTACAATAACGCCATATACTGCCAAGGTCCTTGTTGCAGTACTGTGGACTTTGGTTTCACCAGTATTGCCTTGTAAATTACCTTTTTTTGTCTAGATGCAGTGACTGTGCACATCTCACCATTTTCAAAACAGTTTACAAAATGTATCAAGTCAATGCTGAATTGAAACATTGATATTCAGTGTGCCAGAAACTCCATCTTAGTTTTTTTACGCAATTCTTTATATTCCAGTTCAGATTTATTAAAATACTGAACAGCCCTTAAACTCAGAGAGCCCTCAGGGACTATACTTGATACACTCTACTAATTTGTCAGTGAACAACTAAAAACTACTCAGAAAGCAGAGAGAGACACACAAATTCAAAGACAATCAAGGTCATGAACATCAATATATCAGTGAATTCCCAGTCCAAGTCTGCATGCATGCTCTTACCTGTGAGGAATAAACTTATGCTGAATGCAGGGTAAGAGCAAACTTGCACACAGGGAACCTCAGAGCAACAGCCATGCTGCTGGGTAAACAATGATGTGAAGCTGCAGCAATTTCTTTGCTCCTCTGCACTTCTAGTACATCTTCACAGCCAGCTGTGCACTGACTTCATAATATTCTCATCTAGACCTTTTTTTTTCATAGTCTGCTTCTCTGACCAGCATGTGAAACTGACACTGAGAGTCCCACTAAAATACATGATACGATTCACCTGAGCACATATCTCACTGGAGTGCATGATTTCCACCGAGCTCCTAGTAATTTATAACACTGCTCTGGCCAGTGTCCTGGGAAGATGCTGACCCTCCAGCCTTTAGGAGAACCTTACAATTAGCCCATATCTCATTTTTAAGGAACTGAAGCTCATACTGAAGGCATCCTGAAAATAAAAGCAGCCGCCTCATAAAAGGCAGCTGATCTCTGTCACACTGGCACAGACTAGCTCAATACTAAATCATGCTGGGAAGCTGTACATGCACAATATGCTTGTACACCTGTCTGCTAAATATTTCACCATGACCTTCATTTTTCTTTTACAAATAATAGCTTCAAGAAGCAAATAGTTTAATTTTAATAATTATATTTGGAATCAGAGAATTACAGAGTTCGAATGAGATCTCTGGGTGTCATTAGATCCAATCACTCCACACAGAACAGGACCAGCTAAACCAGGCTCTCCAGGGCCGTGTTCAGTCAAACTGTGTCCATCTCCAAGGACATGGAGGTGCAACAACTTCTCTGAGCAGCTTGTTTTGCTCTCAAGGTGAAAATGGTTTTCCTTATTTCTAACTGGCATTTTCCTTGTTGCAACTTGTATTTGTTGCCTCCAAGTGCCTATGTGAGAAGAATCTGGCTTCATCTTCTCAATACTCTTCCATTAAACAGCCAATGGAAAAAGGATCTCCCAGCATTCTTACTTTACTTTGGGCCAGGGAAAAGAAAAAAAAAAAAGAAAAATAATCAGTTCTCTAAACCTCTCTATCTCTCTTAATATGTTTTCCAAATAACATTATATATTAAAATGTTTTTTAACTGTAACTGCTGAAATATTCAGAGAGACGCGTTACATACAATCACACCAAGACAAATAACCAAGGGTGGTCTTAGCTCTTGAACAAGCTAAATAATTTAAAAGGAAAACAAGACAAAGAGATGACCCTTTTCACAACGTCTCATGCAGCTGGAAAGGGATTTTATTTACAATATTTAAATGCAGTACTGTGAAACAAACAACTTGGTTCATAGGCAGTGCACCCGCTGCTGAACTGTCACTGCCTGACATCCTGTCTTATCTGCCAAATTGCTCATTAGGTTTGGCAATTTTCACCTGCGCCTCCAGTTTATATTTCAGCAGGGAATAAACATCAGTCTGCTCTAACAATCTTCTGCAGTGAGCTTCCAACCTCTTCCCAGAAAGCATGCAGGCACAACACAAAAAATGCCTTGTGTACTGGCTTCTTAGAAAAAAAATGCAGCTCAAGTCATGAAATACAACAAGAGGAAGTTTAACTTCGGTAATAGAAAAGCAGTAAAAAAGAAAGACCTAGATAAGTAACATAAATAAATCAACTGCTTGTGTCGATGAATTGTGTTTTCACAGTACAAAAAAACACAGGGGGTATGGGCCAGCCTCATTTTTGTTTCCATGTTTGTATGGGAAGATTCAACTTGACACAACCCCCCCACACACACAACGTGCAAAGTACAGGCTGTGTTTGTGCATGGGAAAAGACGGACTCCAGATGAATATTACTTTTCCAGCTGGACCTGATCTAGCTAACCTTTCCCTTGCTGGGAGAGGAGGGATGGCGTGATCTATAAACAAACAAAAGGGGTAGCATGGCAACCAGAACAAAGAGAGGAAGATCTCAGCAGGCCCTTAAGCCCCAGCCTAAAGCACTGAGATGCTGCCTCGAACAGAGCCCGCTCCGGACCCCGCGGGTGCAGGTGAGTGGCAGCAGGATGGCACAGAGCTCTGCTCCTGCGAGCGCACTGCCACGGAACAGAGCCCAGCTCGCGAGCAAAAAGCACCAGAGATGTAAAACAAAACGTCTAAAATGCTATAAACCAATTTCAGACGGAATACTGTTTTTCATTTGTTAGAAGTAAAATATTCACCGCCAACCCTGCAATTAGCTAGAAAATTACAATAATTACAGCAATTTTGTATCCCATCTCCAATCCAATTAATAGATATATGACCTTGTCAACATGTAATAATCAGGATCTGCATCTACCGCAAAACTGGATGGGTTTTATTTGCTGAATAGAACTTACACAGTAAGAAGATAATTATTTGAAATACTGAGAATACCATTTGTATGCTATGCTTCACTTCACAAGTTATAAAGGAAATACAATAAGGATAGCATTTCCATTTTCAATGTATATTTAAATGAAATTCTTGAAATAGGTATGTTTAATATGGGATAATATTACTGGACTGCGGTTCTAAGACCGTAGTTTGAAATATTTAGAATCAAAATATTTCTAATTGTCAGCATTTAAAAAAAGAATTAACTAGATAGGAGAACACCTCTGATTTCTGATAACATATTTATGACTTAAACAATTATGCTTAAACAATTTTATTTTTGCATGCTTTTATAAAAAATGTCAAAGAGCTATAATTCTTACCAACAATTGTAAAAGTCTTCTATATTACTAAAGACCTTTATAATGTAGGGTCTCAAAGCACTTTTTGGTCATTCTGGCAATCAGTGAACTAGTTAAGTATTCCATGTATTTTCCAAAATGACACAAAGACAAGTGAGCTGTCCAGTATCTCACTGAGTTTTATCTGCACTATATGATTTTAATGCACTAACATTCATGTATTGTATAATACACTGGATAATCACACTAAGGAGAAAATATGTATGCATTTGCCTGCTCTAACCCCCCTTAGCTGAGAACCTAGGAGGACAGCTTTTTGGCATATGCATGGAAATGAGATGTGCATTTAACAGTGGCATACTCTAGTGACAGCAAAATGGAAGGGTCCTGAAATTCCAGGATACTTCTTTATTCTACCATTAATCCTTTCCCTAATTTAATTCTGTGTTGCAATGAAGCATAGTTATAGCTTGAAAAGATATGTGTTCAGCTCTATCTAAGCTAATTGTTAAACGTTGTTCCCTTAATTTTACAGAAAACATTCTGGTACAAAACCCCTCAAACTTAATAGACTGGTAACTTTTCCATTTGCATTTTACCTCATTGCTTAAATGCAGATTTTTAAAAGAACACCTACATAAAAGCAATCTCTTGGGTATTACAAACAGTTTTTTAAAACACTGTATCTGTAGAATATTAAAGGATTGATGATACTAACTCCTGCTAAGAATTTTCTGGAGTGGAGTCACTACTTCAGAAGTTCAGTGAGCAAAATGATAGACACTACAGGTAAGAGGTTACAATGCTTTATCCACATTGTCTTCTTTGTGTGGCACTTTTAACAAAAATGGAAATTACAAAGTACTTTTCATTCCATGATTTTTCTTCTTAATAAGCTGAAATACTCCCAGAACCTGTCTGAGCAAGAAATGTGATAGGTAATTCCTACTACATGGTTTTGCAATGAATGTTCACCACATTGAAATAAAGAAAACAAAGGCTTGTTTCTGGCTGTGGTTTTTGTTTTTTAAGAAGTGTATTTTTGCAACACAGTAAATGTACGTTTTAGCAGGTGTTTTTATGGAAAGGTGACAAGCATAACCTAGCAACACTGGCAGGTTCAGTAGAAAGTGCTCCTATCTTTAGTTTCTTTTTACCATTTTCTTCATTAAATGCAATGAAACTGGCAAACTGCAAATTACACTGTGCAGAAACTGCTTTTGGAAATTTTGCTGTGATTTTCCGTGTAAGGACAATTTTAAACTGGCAGCACAGAAGGAGTTTATGGCTCCTAAAAGCAGTTTATAAATAATTTATTAAAACTGAAAAGGTTTGTTTACTTGACTGCAACAAGCATTTATGCAATTTCTCAATTCTGATCAGCTTTCGATAGAGACAGATAATGAATCATTTTCCCAGCGGCATCAATGGGTAATAGCACTTGGCATCTTCGTAAACTTAGATGAAACACGTTGAGACACCGAGAACATTTACTTACTTGCGCGTAGGACTGAAGGGGTGACCTCAATTTCACTTGTTGCTTGGTAAGGCTGAAAAGCCGATGCCGCGTTGGAGCCAAGTTCGCTGCCGAAAATCTCTGGGCTTTGTGTGCCTGTCGAGCTGGCGCTGGTGCCATCACCTCCATGGTGTGGATCTTGCTCATCAAACACAGCCACAAGCTGAAAATGACAATTTAATCTACTGTTAAAAAAAAAACTTTCAGCAACATCAAAGTGCCATTGCAGATCAGCATTTCATCATTTCTTCCCACCAAAGAGCGAGAAATGTCTATCAGCAGAAACTCTGATCAATGCCTAGATCATCAGCCCAAGGAAAGGCAGTCATTAATGGGATACTACAAAGGGTCAACAGCTCTGATGGAACACAGAACTCATCACTGTCAGCCGCAGAAAGAACAGCATCAAGTCAGGAAAGGAAGGGTTGCACCTTCCCCAGCAAACCACTTCATCTCACCCAGTAACGTAGAAACAAATTTGAGTGTGGATCGATGCCTGTTCAATGCAATTTTTCATCTGTGTTTTGGTACCTCTATATGCATCATAACTACAGAGTCAAATTATGAGCAAAACCACAGCTTTATAGAATAAAAACATACAAGAAGAAATTACGTTAATACACACTGAAAGCTACACAAACTACAAAGCTTAGGAAGTGTTATAATCACTAACAGTTATCATCTATTAATCTGCCACCTATTGATCTATTACTTATTAATATGATTTAAGTTGTAGGGTTCTCTTGCAAAATTTCTTCAGTCAAATTTACAGAGATACTCTGTGTTAACTGCAATCAGCTCCTACAAGACAAGTTTGAAATCTCAAGCCAAATTTGAAACTTAGCCTAGTCATCAATTGAATAAAGGTTTACTAAATCTGTGTTCACCACTGAAAGAAAAATAGGAAAAATGTCATGGGGATTTTTGATAAATCTGAGATATTTTTCCCACCGTAAATGAATGTTTTTATTTGAAACAAATAATTTATCCCAATTCATCTTTGGTGACCTACTGAAAGAGATAATGCCAGCTCTTATACACATTTCACTGTAGAACTTAATTTCCAAGATGGAGAAAAAAGTTTTATGGATGACAGCATTCTGCAGCCTGCAAATTAATCTATAATATAATATTTGAAAGACATTTCCAAGAAAGCATTACATTCTTCTGTCCAAATTGGTAGGGTAAATGGAGCAAATCAACTTAAACCTTTGCTAGCCTCTACAAATTGTTTATTCTGTTAGAACAACAGCTAAAACCTTGTGTAACACAAAGGAACAAGAGGTCATTTTCTCTCTCTCTCTGTTTTTTTTTTTTTCTGTGATTTCACCATCATCTTTATCCCAAAGATTTTAATATTATTCCCTTTACTCAAAGCTAACTTACACAAACATCAGTAAAAAAATTTAAACCCACAACTCTAAGTCCCAGTGGAAACCATTTGGCAATTCAGCTTTTGAAAGTACTTTCAGGCATTAACTCTTTTTAATGAGTCATTTTGAAACTACAGAGAGTAGCAAACTTCTGCTGGTAATTCCATATCTAACGCAAATTTAGGTTCTGGCATGCATAAAACAGAAAGGGGAAACTGGTACTGGATAAAGAGTCCATGCTCTCTCCAGTTCTAGTTGAAAAGTAGGGAGCAGCAGGAAAACCAGGCTGCAGCTGCAGACAGCTGGAACATGTTTTTAACATAAAAGTCATTATTTTACACTTGAGAAATCTACACACAAAAGACACTCGAAAACACCAAAATGTCAGTAGCTCAAGAGTATTGGAAAATTAATTTTCTAACACATTGTGAAATATCTGTGCTTACAAAAATATGCTTCTCAAACTTTACTCATAACTCTCTTACTGTTTTATAGCAAGCTAATTACCAATCTCCAGCAACTGAAAATAAATTAATCCTCAAGTGAAGATCTGTAAGGTATTACAACAAAAGACAAACAAAGCATTTATGAATCCTAGGCATGAAACATCAAATCTCCTTCTCTTTTGCATGTCATGTATCAAGATAAATCCCCAAATTACATTCTGTTCCTTTGAGGCTGATTGAAAAATATTGTTCCATGCACACAGCTGCAAATATTTTATAGATATTATATATATGTAAAAAGGTATTTCCATATAAATCTCTATACGTGTTATGTCTTACTGTAAGTTGCCTCCAGCTTTTTGCCTATTCCACACATTCTACAACCTACAGTTTCAGAATATCTAAAAATGAATGTCTCTTATTTCAAGCTTAGCTTTTGATCTTATGTTTTTTTGCAGGTATTCACTGTTTTGACAGCATCAAACCTTCAAAAGGCTTCAGTTCCATTAAAAAGTACACCAAGTTGTAACATTTTTTCATATAACATGAAGAAACACAAGCCATGTTAGTCTTCTCCAAATCTAATTAGCATTAGGAACACAGGTTAGGAAGTTCGTTGTAAAACAGCACTACAATGGTACAACTCATTACTCATAATAAGCTAGAAAGTCTCTGGGACTTGAAGACTTAATGCAAATCAACGCTGTTGAATCTTGATTTCCAGAGCTTGGTATGACACTCTGCAGATGATGAGCTCACAGGAAACAAGGACAGTCGAAACGTCTTACAATGTATTATGGTACCAAGCATTTGCCTCTGATTTCTCCCAAACCCTTTATTTTAATCAAGAGGAGGGGAATTGTGAGGCCCAGAAATCACACCTCAACTACCATCTCTGCAGGAACAAGAAACAAAACCAAAAAAAGTATCCAAAGAGACACATTATGGCAACTTAGAAGGAACCACAGGAGTAGGTCACTGAAGATATGAGGAATCCTCTGGTGCAGGAACCCACAGGGATAAACACTGCTCTATGCCAAGGAAACAAAAGGCCTCTTGGTGAGTCATGTTTAATCACTGAGATGTTTTTAATTTGGCAGAGAATGGAGTACACAACACTAGACCAGATTTTATCAGCTTTAAAGGCAATGGTAAGCCTATGGTATTTTGCTAGGCTTTAGATATCAGATATACAAAGATAGCGGAAAACAAAGATGGCTTTTCTGGAAACATCATTACTGTCAGGAGACCGCTTCTATGCTGATTTTCTTTCTTCTTTAATATGAAATAAATGACTGGAGTTACCCTAACCTTTGAAGAATCACTCTATTATTTCTAATACCTGACATGAGCTGTGCCTTCTCTTTGTTCTCTGTCCTTTAGTTTTAGGTCCCATCACTTGCAGTGACCTGAGAACTCATCATACCATCTAATCTTATGCAGAAGGACTGAACAAACCATAATAACACATGAATAAAGAAAATAGCTTAGATGTTCAATATTAGACCAGTATTAGCTCTTTAAAAGATTTCCACCAAAAAACAGTGAATACTGGAGCCATTTGGGGTTTTGATTGGTTTAACTTTTTTTTTTTTTTTTGAAACTCAGCCCCACAGCCACAGACCAAATATCATATCAACAGTAATAAATAATAACAGTAGTTATTTTAAGTTTTATTCACGCCCTCTTCCATGGGACCTGAACTTGAATGCATCAAAGAATGTGCAAATACGATTTAATAGGTTACAGCGATTTTAACCATGTAAGGTAACAGGACTATTTACATTTTTCAATCACTGAAGCAAAAATCTGGAAATAGAAAATAAAATCAAGTAGCAACAAATTACTTTGCCTTCCCAAAACAAATTTATTAAACGATATGCTTAATTTAGACTGGCATGCTCATATTTCTTATTACAATATGGCAAAAGTAATGGAAAGGGGGCTTTAATACAGATCCACATCATACATCAAGGTAAGCTGGCACAGGAAATATCAATTTGATTAATATAAGAATTTGGTCCCCAGTGCATGCATATATTACTTTTTCAAGAAAAAAAATGTTTCAAATATTCATTAACACATTCAGATATAAAAACAGTGGCTCTGTTCAGATCACAACATATGGAAAGGTTCATTCCATTCAGCAATTAAGAGTACTAAGGAATTAGGAATAAGTTTTTGAATGCTTAATATGCATAAATTAAAATACTTTTCAAGCTCCAGAGTAAGAAATACAAATAATCATGTGTGAATTATCAACAAAAGACAAAAAAAGCAACAACATTCAGTGTTCAACCAACAGTTTTTCTTTTTTTAGAAAAAAAAAGAACTGCAGCAAAACTCAACAATTATCTCAGTTGTAAAAAGCAAATCTATGATCTTTAGTTTATTTAAAGAGGCATGGGGGTTTTCTTATTGCTACCCTTATACTCTGAAGACAAAAACATTACAGGAGTATGATTTAAAAATCACATAACTTGATGCTTTTCTCTTTTGATTGATAAAGACTTTCCATAGCAAACAGAAAAAGAAGGGAGAGCAAAAAAACTTAATTCTTTTTGTTAAATAAACAAGGTTCATCAAGCAAATAGCTTACAGAGAAATTATCCTACAACCTGAGATATCAAAACAAGGTTTTACTGAGGTGTCTTTGGCTCTAGGATAGGAGGAAAGCATTACCAGCCTATCACTGCATTCAGCTCTCTATAACACCATGTTGTACTGAACTAATTGCACTACAACCTTTAGTTCTTTCTGAAAGAGATACCAGGATGAGATTCTCTATTCCTCTGTCTGGGACTCAATGTATCATACTAACCAGGTTATATTTACTTAAATAAATGGAAAGCAAGAAGATTGATTTATTTTAATATTGACATAGCAGCAGCAGTCTGCATTCCAACATTAATTATTACAATTTTCATCTATTCTAAAGTAATTAAGAATTAGTAAACACATATGCAGTCTTAATTAATATACTAGATTAAGTACTTCAATGTTAATTAACTGGATTAAAAAACTATTTGCACCAGCAATGGCTGTTTACATTAAGTACTAAGATCATATAAAACAATTCATCACTATCAAATTGTCCAATCAGATCATCTCTCCCCAGCACAAAAGCACAAAACCAGAAGTCCTCCACTTTACAGAAATTCATAAACCTAGAAATTTTGCTGTATTTTTCCACCACTATGATAAGTAAGATTGTCAAAAAGATCACCTAAATTTTGCATATTCCTAAGTCTTTGTCCAAATTCTGCTAATTCTTTTGTGATATTTATTGATGAATCTGATACTGGCTCATGTGTAGGAACCAGTAATGACTTCAGACTTATTCT